TAGACCCATTGTAATTTACCTGTAAATGCATTTATATATCATATGGTTCCAGTGAAGCAAAATCCTTGGCTCAATAATAGAACAGTAATATGCCCACTAGGGATTTTAGAAGACCCAGATTAAGGAAAGAATAGTGATTTTTAATAGCTGGAATCAACCTTTTTATTCCCTTGTGTCACAAGACATAGGAAATCTCAGTTTCAATTAAAAGTTAATATTGCATCATGAAAATGGGATAAACGTGACATTAAGAAGTGAATAGAAGGGATATTGTAAAGACAGCTCAAGTGCTTTTAGTGACTTCATGTTTAATTCAATAAAATATCTCTATTTAAACATTATCTGAAGCAGCCAGAGCTTGCAGTAGAATTCAGAGCAAACCTGCTGGAAAGTGTTCATGGCCATGGCAGGTTTGCTAGAAATATTGGCAAACTGAACTTAATTGTAACAGATTACATCTCAAGTTTGCATTTTCCAGTTTGGTTTGGTTTCTGCATTACTTTGTTTTTGAATCTTTCAAATCAAAAACATCTTCTGTGCTCCCTAGGTTTGGTTTTGTTAGTTTATTTTACAATAGGTTGCATCAATGTCATCTAGATGTGACTTCCAGTTTTGCTTGAACTGACACCAAAACCATCAGGAAGGTGGTTTGTTCCCCCTTCCACTCTTTTACTCACTGGCATAATTTCCATCCAGCAAAGCTTTTCAAAAATAAAGAAGGAAAAGGCCTTCCTGTACAAGCTACCTGTGACTCCTATCCAAATATGAAAGACTTGTGTAAAAGCTTGGCAGGCAATCCCAGAATATGCCACTTAGTGACTTCCTTATTTTCTGCTCTCATTCCACGTAGAGAAAATGAATCTGAAAATCAGAGTAATTGCCATTCATTTTCAAATATGAAATTGTAAATGGTAAATTTCCTATCTGTGTGTAACACCCACATTTTAAATCAAAAGTCTTGAATGCTGACAGCATTAGTCATAGGAAATCCTGTATGAACATCCAGCACTTGAGTTGGACCTTCCCCTGGATCACACCATAGAAGGAGTTTGCAGGAAAACATTCTGTTACTCTCAAATCCTGTGTTGATTTTAACCCTTTACCTGCCATTGACTCTGGCATGACACTGCTTTTTTTTTTTCTAGAGGCCATTTGCCACTTTCTTGTGATCAAAATGATATTGAAAAACAATCTATTTCACAGCTGAAACTGTGTTTTAATAATACACCAGAGGTGTACTTCAACACCCTCCATTATGAGCACAGTCTTCAGTGTAATTTGAATAAAAAAGCCTATTTAGAATATTATATTGTTATATTAATATTCATATATGAAGTATCAACATGAAACAAAGTGCACAGGTCAGTAAAAATGGAAAGCTAAAAAAGCCAACATAACTTTGTACAGTAACCCATAATATGGCCAATGCAATACCAGTAACAAACCCAGCTGTGTTGCACAGGATTGTTTTCACATTACATGGCTGACCCAACTGTGACAATTCCTTTGCCTTTCTGTAAAAGGAGCCATCTCTCAATGGGCATAATATATCTTTAAAAATAAAAAAATCTTGTTTATCATTTTCATCTAATGGGAAAGCCCCACACATGTTGAGTTATTGTGGAACAGCTGGCTTAAATTAAAGCTTCAGATTTAAGGAAGGAATCTTAGAACATAAAGTATCAAATAATAGCTAAATTCTAGATTAGGATGAGGCTTTTAATGTCAGGCATGGCAAGCATATATTAGGCAAATGGACTTGAATCTTAGGTTTTTTGTAATGTGGTGAATCTTAATACTCCAGTTTTAGATCTAGAACCAGCAGTGTTTAAACATAGTTTAATCTAGTTTGATAAATAAATCAAAATACATTTTCATATATCGTTGTTCATATGAGGCAGACTTTGGGACTATGAAATACTGATAGATGTGC